AGATGGATAGCATTATGGTTTGTGCTGTCACAGTAACTCTTCATGCCTGATAGTGCAGGGCTGCACGTCTCACAAAACCTTGTGAAAGTAATAGTAAATAGCCTTTTTGAATTGAAAAAAAAAAAGAGTAAAATCAGGATTACTACTAGGAAGGAGAGAAATTCTTCTTGGAAGTGATTTCCCTAATATTTGGATATAATCTACCTTATCCAGAAACATCTGTCTGTGTGCATAAGAAATACGCTTCTGTCCCCTGCAGCGGTGTCCAAAAATGAGATAGTAAGTATTGCTTCCTGATCACACACAAATGGGGTTTTTATCTGTGCCAAGATCATAATATGAACACCGGAATAAAACTGCAAACAGACAAGAAAAGGGGCACACACCTGAAAGCCTTTAGCTAGCCTTTCCATCCCCTGAGCTTCACTAGCCTGCTCTAATAAAGCTTTGCTGAAGCTTTGTTTTCTGAGGACATTTATATTCTATTAGGAAAGCGCAAACATCTCTAACAATAGCTTTGTGTGAGGCCACAATTGTATCCCTTGATGCTAATGCAGGCTATTAAAAGGAAAAGTTCAGCCAATGCCCCTTGGGTTCTGGGAGAGCTGGACAATTTGGATGCCATGTTCACTTCCAGTTTCAAAGCTTTGCTATATAGAGGATTTCAAATCTCGCTGTTCCACCAAGAGAGACTATACCTGCTAAATTTGCAGAGGCCACTAAACTGAGAGGGGCTGCAAGTCAATTACAGTTAAAACACCAAAATATCTTGACAAATAGGAAGAAAAAAAGTCTGGAAAAAAGATAATTCTGTAGGGACTAGAGAGGGGCAGAAATAATCAAACATAACTGCAGAAAAGGGGGCAAACTGAATTACAGGCTGAGCTTGATGTTGTCCCTTTGCAAAAAAGGTGAGCAGCGTGCTGGACTGCCCAGGCTGGGAGCCTAGTCTGCAAAGGCAGGTGGAGTAACCTAGGCTGGGAACACCTGACCTGAAGCATCAGTTGCAACATGGGAGATTCAGACAGTAGGAAAAAATCTTTCC